ACCACTCTGTCTAAATGCTGTCTTGCCTCTCTCTGTCCTTCCACCATCTTTCTCCCTCTTGTGCAGGCTTGATTAATATTTTCCACTGTTCCGTAACCATGGCAATAAGGTCACTGCATATGATACTTAATTGAATCTTCTCAGTGCTTTTGTGCGCATCTCCTGTGTCTGAACAATACAAATCTTCAGCTGATGACTCCAACCCCCTATCTTTACTTCACTCCCCTCCATCTTTCTTTTCATTTGGTGCCCCATGAATTTGTTCATTTGTTTCCTCTGCTATCCCTTTCTTGTACTGCCTTTCTTTTCCGGCTGCTCTCTGACCATTTTCTTCCTTGTCCTCTCCTAACGTTTTACTCTTTGTTCCTCAAACATTGTTCTCCTGCGTGTGTCGTCCTTCAGCAAGGAGCAGGATAGTGTTATTGTTATAGTGCCATTTAAATTCTGCTTCTTTCATATTTTGTTGACAGCCACCTGCTGCAACACCGTTTGATGACTTATTACTCTTTTATGCCAGAGTAATGCACAGTAGCACTACCCAGCTCCTCTTTCCTCGCTCACTTCTACGCTACACTCTTTTCTCTGTATGTTGCTCATTACTGGTTCCCCTGTGCATGTAGAATTTGCACACTCAAATCAGTCTCTGGCACAGTCGTTACATTGATTCAAAAAGACACTGATGACTCAAGTGGCGAAATAAAAAGCTGTGCGGCCAGGAAACCTTCGGGACGTATAGTGAGCCTCTGACACGGGGGGCTCTGCGAACAGGTGTCTTGATTAATGCTTAACAAATTGGGGTCCTTTAAGATCCGGACATAAGTGGGAGACACGTCCCCTCTTCACACGGACCACATGGACCAACACATAAACACACGCTGACTGAGTCTTTGTTCACGCTGGTATGGAGGCTAATCCATGACAAGAGGGGATACAGGTTCACAGGAAGAAAACACTGGAGTGGATAAAGACTGGAGGGGTGAAGTAGAGGTGGTCTGTATGGGGTGCTGGCTTTAATAAACCGCGTGTATGTTTGTAATTTCTATGGACATTGAAGCAAAATGAAATGCTTTATCAATGCTTGATTGCCAAGATTCAGCTGCAATACGTTTGTTTGTTTGATTTTGAAGAGACTTTTCCAGTAAATACTGCTGAATGCTTTGTTTTCCCACTATTTCCTCGTCTTATACAAACAAATCAGGCATAATAAGATGTGTTTTTTAATCATCAATATATTCCTGGACACAAAGGGCCTATTTTAGCCGAGGATGATCATTTCCCTGAAAGGTCAGTTTTGTTTATCTTATTACACAATGATTCCTATTTCTTCTAACAAAAGTGTGACAACCAACTAGAGGCAATCATTCTACTCAAATAAAACAGAAAGGTAGAGTAAGAGACGGGACGAGAGAAAAAGTACACATCTGATTTGACATGTGCACCATAAAAATAACCATTAGCAGTTACCTACATTCTGACGTGACAGTCTATCAATAATGTCACTCTGGAAATGGGACAGGTTTGTTGCTGTCTTTAAATCACCGGAGACTCCATATATCAGAAAAGCATGCAAATATAAGAAACGCATTAAGGCTTGATGTTAAAGGGAATGGTTGGAGCAGAGGGACACCCAGGGGCACAGCAGGACATCGCTCACCTCTCACTTGGTCACAGGCTGGAGACACCTGCCTTGTCTGACACTCAGTCCTACAGACAGCGTCTACTATGGTTGAACCCGGCAGTTGATACTATTCAGTATCTGTTGGATTTATATTAATACGTTATTAGAAAATATCTCAAATTTTCTTCTTTCTTTTATTGTTTTACTATTGTTTCATTACAACAACTGTATGTGTATTATTATTATTATTGCATTATTATTATGTCCATTCAATATAAAATAAACAAACTGCAAACTCAACCGAACCATATACAATCCTATTAAGCAGTCACAAAGCGAGCGCTGTCGCCAACATATGCCAACACGCATGCCAACAAGTTCAGGCAACTGCACAGAAACACGCACGCACACACTGACTTGCCCCCACCAACCCACCCCTTACTCCCTAATAGGGCATTTGTGTACAATCAAACTTCCTCTTGCATATGAATGGACCTATTAATGAATGGGACATGCACCGAGTGCCTGCCAGCTTTGGAGGCAGAGAGCAGAGCACACTTCTTTTCTATTACCATGTTTAATTTGGTAAGCATGTGCAGGCTGCAGTACGCCCATCTGCTCCCCACACACGCCCCTCAGCCAGCCCATTTCTGCCATGTGCTAGCGCAACAGCCAGGCATTGTAGCAACAAGTGTCTGCACATTACCACGCTTGCCAGCTCCCCTCACTTGGCAGCGAGCCTGCAGACCTGCCCGCCCCCCTTATGAGAAAAAGACTTGATAGTGCCAGGGGAGAGACAGCTTAGGGGGGTAAACCGGGAAGAGGTACGAGGAGGGGGGGATTTGATTTACATATTGCAGTTCAGGCAACACTCATCTGCTCCTAAACGGCTCCGGAGCAATTACGGGTCATTAGTCCTTTTGTTTTCTGTTACGGCGTAATGTAGCAGTGGCGGTATCTGCGGCGCGGTGCCGCCTGCGGGCGCTCCCTGTGGGAATGTCAGCGCCAACGGTGTCTGTCTGCCACCCTTCCTCCCCATTCATGTCTCCTCCTCTGCCATTGATACAGCTTTGCTCTGTGTGTAAACAACACTCAGCACCACCCTGGCAATGCAAGGGAAGCCACTTTGGCAGAGACCCAGCTCTGGAGTACGCAGCTGGTGATGGGGCAGCCGGAGGAGGCGCAGGCTGCTTATCCTAATTAGCCTGATCATGTAAACAATTTGTTTCGTATGGTTTAATTGGCAAATTGCAAACATTTGATTGAATTTGTTTTGGCGAAGACACGTTTTTAAGACACAAGTACAGTGTGAATGGCAAGTTCACTCCATCTGAATTTCAGCTATTATTTCAGTTTGACTGAAGTTTAATGGCAGACGCACTATCAATCCATTTTATGTTAGGAATCTAAATGTATATACGATAGACAATACATCACTGATTGTGATTTTGTTTCTCAACACAGATGCAGCAGTCATCTTCATTTTCTATTTGCTCACTGTACACCACAGTGGGAATGAATAAATTAAAAGGAAAACATCTCCCTGTATAGTATGATGAAAACTGGATGTGATCAAGCAGTTATTCTGAATAGATATGATACAGGTGCACGAAACTGCCGCAAGGTCAGTCGCACAGCGGTAATGAAGGCTGGATGTATTCTTCAATATGTTTACCGTCCATTACTCACCTCGCAGGCAGCCGTGTGTTAAGCATCCCTGCTGCTGTGAAAAGGTGGCAAAAAGGTAGGTAGGTAGGTAGGCAGGTATGGAATGTGCATGTTCACATGTCCATTTGTGTGGCTGTAAGACCCTCCTCAGTTGGTATAGAAAAACACTTACTGTTAATGTAAATAGCAAGGCAGCATAAATCAGCAGCCACGCACAGCCCCGGAGAATATCGTGTAATAGTTATTGCAAAATGAAGTGGCACTGGGATCAATATCCCACTATATCTCATTCTGGCGTAACGGCACGGAGGGAAGCCGGAGGCCAAGGGAGTTCGGTCCCTCTACCCTATGGGCCTATAAATCTGCCTGACCCGCAGCCCGCTTATTAAAGTGCATGCACAATCGGCCGCAGCCATCCCAAAATACAAGCTTACTCACTGACCTGGATTCAGGGGAATGGAGGCCCTTACCTTGTCAAAGGGCAGGGGTTAAAGGTTGATTGAGGCTATAGCATCATCCAAACATACTCTACAAAGAAAAAGGGATGTGTTGGTTTTAGCTCAGCATTATTAATGATAATAGAACTCAAAATGAAGTCTGAATGTCAGCACTGCAGGGAAAACGGTGGATTCATTTGTTCAAGTAGTATGTTGTGTGGAGATTCCTATATTCTATTCATTAATAAATTAATTTAGCAGTTTCTCTTTCATTCATAGCATCTTGAGGCACAACTTTTCTTCTGCCGGTGTGAAGCTAGCAATTATTCTCTGTAAGCTATGGCTTATTCACCATATTAATCTTTTTTTCGGTGAAGAATCTTTAGTATTGTCGGGAATCATTTTATTATAAATGAAAGGAGGATGGATATTACTTTCAAGGTTGAGATTTTCCCCCTCCAAATATGATGAATTCAAATGCTATGTCAGTAGGACCACAACCACTGGGGTTTGTTGTTGACACTTGGTACTCTATAAGTCTCATTTGTTGTGACCAAAGACGAGGAATTATTCTGAAATGTTTAAACGCAACGATATAAAACAGAGTAAGAGAAGCACATTTTTTAACTTCTTTTTAAATGCAAGGTCCATTGTAGCTGAGGGAAAAAGGCTGTTTTTGAATTGGTTTGTATTTGAGCGTCTGACAGGGGATGCCCTGTGAGCCTGGTGCCCAGAGTCAGCCATTGCTTGAGATGCATAACGTGCGGAGAAACAGGCCAATGACAATGTGGTGAATTCTCTGTGTGTTGTTTTTTGTGTGTGAAAATATTTTGAATGACATGAGGATGCAATACATGTATGATAGAGGGGTCCATTTTTCATATGCACATCGAAAAGCAATTCCTTTTTGTATTTATGTATAATAGGTATTTGCAGTGTCCTTTTCTTATCATCAGGTGGTAATATGACTTCACAATAAACAGCACAAAGCGTGCAGACTGAAATGGATACAAAATAGAAATATGATTTGTATGATTTTCCAGATTATTCAGGTTTTATCCATTCATGCATACGATCTGTTGAAAGCTTAGTACAGCCTCGGGGCAGACTGACTGTTGGTCAGTAAGAATGATGTTGGTTCTAAATTGTAATTGTAATGAACCAATATGAACAGTGAAACATGTGGTTCACTCTGTTTTTCTTCGAGAAATAGTTTGAAGAATACACGGTATGATGAAAGGCTGTGGACAGTAATGCATTTCCTTTCTGTTTTTTAGGAATGTGAGGGACCCTTTCCTCTGCTTCACAAGGTATGCAACTTTAAGACCTTCTTTTGGAAAATTTGGTATTTTATAGCTTCAAACAAACTTGACTGGCAAAAGAAAATACCAATAGGGTTGGTATTTGAATTATGAGAGTAGGTGCAGAATGCTTTTAATAATATATTCATTACAAGCACATACTCCATTTTTAAACCATACAGAACCCTATTACTTACAAAATGGACCATGTTGAGGTTTCTTTGCATACTATTTTTGGAATAAACCATTAAACTGAATATTTTGTAGCTCGGAGAACTTGTCTGTTTTTATTGTTATTTGAATGTAACAAAATGAATTCTTGTGTATTTAGTATTATTGATTAGAACGGAAAAGTTCATGAACATTCATAACAAACAGCTGTATGATTCCTTAATTTCTTTCCTCTTGATTCTAGTTGTTTTCTCAAACTTCTAGTGGTGACTAATGAAACCATACAAAAAGCTTACAATCTAATTAAAAATATAATTAATTAGTTTGAATTAATCGTGACGACTGAGATTTCTGACAAGCTCCACTTTAAATCAAGGAAAACAAAGAAATCCAAGACATCTCCCGAGGTGGCTGAGTTAAAACCAACACGTCTTTAACCAAGTAATACAAGATGAATAAAATATTCTAAACACAAGATAAAATAAATTATTTTCAGATAATGCTGAAAATATATTATTGTATTAAGCTTGTATTTTTTATATAAACCTATCGACTAAATTTAAAATGTTGAATTTCCAAGCTACACTGTATTTATAGCAAGCCGATAATTATATACAATCAAGTAGTTCTTTTGAGATTATTTTATGATGGTTTAATAATACTAACGATTAAAGCAATCCTTTCCAATTAGTTCTCTGCACTGAGCAGATGTACTAATCAACACCAGCGAAATGGTGTTTTTATTTCGGTTCAATATTCTACTCAAGTGTAATGTTATTGCCGTGAAGTATACTTACTGCAAGTACGGGATCATTTGTTTGATTGAACACACACACACTCACACGCATGCAGGCACAGTGATTATGTATGGATTTGTATGAAGAAATGGTGCTGAATAACCATTAGAGAGTCATATAACATAATGTATCCAAATCTTCATGGATACATGAAGAGTTCTTTTTTTTATTAAATCGGAATCATCATCGACCTGCCAGCACACAAACGCACAGTGTGCTCCTTTTCTTCAACCTGTCACTGTCCACGGCGTGACCTCGACCCGGGTTTGAATCTTAGAGAACAACGGTCGGGACAGATCAGAGGCTGATATTGAAATTGGACGTAAAGACAAAGCATGAGGATTACGAAAGTATTGGTCAAGACCGTTTTCACCACAGGCTATACTCTTAACAAGATCTGATGTGAAAATAACATGTAAATGTGCGCCGCAGACTGACCTTTGCCCTCTGTGTATGAGGATCTGTGACCGGCGGCTGACCTGTAATCCTCTCGTAAATGATTTGACAATAGAGAGACATATTGATCAGGTCAGTCTTCTGGCAATAAGGTCAAGGGCTTGACGCACAGCCCAATCATGCTTTGTGTCGGCAGGTGGACTTTCCTTTGTCTTCCCACCACCTGTAGTCAGATAATGGGCTGAATTGGGCCTCTGTTTCAGCTGCTTTAACAGACAGGCTTCATGTGTCTGCTGTCACGTCACCTGTACCACAACATCAATGAGGATTACAATGTGTGTCAAAAATCAAAAAAAAAAAACTCCTTTGAGATTTTGTGACAGTTTCAGGATATCGCTTCTTTTTCTCTCTAAGACAGCACAAATTGCTTTAAATAAAGCTTATGCCGGAGACCCGTGGTAACCTGCTCCTTCTAACCCCCCACCACCACCACCACCACCACCGCACCAAGAGAAAAAAAAACCTGTCTGCAAGCTCCCTCTCAGAGCCCCCAGCCTTCCCCACTGCGCCTGGGCGGCTGCTGTCCTCTGGGCTCACCCAGCTCGCACATCTGGCCAGACAGAAGAACAGAGGAAACACGGGCGAAAATCTCCTGTCGACCACTAGTTCTCGCTACATAAACGATTCTCTCTCTCTCTCTCTCTCTCTCTCTCTCTCTCTCTCTCTCTCTCTCTCTCTGTCGGATTCCTTTGGAGTGACCGGTGATAGAGCAGCATCTGGAAGGAGCAGCAATTTTCTTTCCTTGTGTTTTTTAGGGAGATCTAGGCCCCCGATAATCCGTCTCCCTGCTCATTAAAGGAGCTGAATAAACACAGGCCTCTTCCAGTTGTTCCTATGAATTTCCTCGCCGGGCGTCAGGAGACCCAAGCGGGGGCTACTGGATCAAAGCTGCCGGCAGCCCCATGTGTTCTGAGAGTGAGAGTGCGTTCCGGGGCTGGGCCCATTACCTTTTTCCCTGAGAGCCTCGGAGGCCCCTAGGTCATTGGCTGTCAGTTCTTTGGCCCTAGCTCAGCAAAGCAGGAGGAAAGAAAGAAAAGTTAACCAGATGAGATCCACAGTATTAGAGAAAATGAGAGGGCTGTATACAAGTGGATGGAAACAGATGGAAAGACATTTACATTTTGGTTATTTCTAATGACAAACATCTGGTGATTTGATTTCAATGCTGACAATTTTGCAATTCAAAATGTATTTACTTGTAAAAGTATAGTTTCAGGTATAAAAACAAACGTGTACTAGTTTATGTGTGTGCCACTCTGACTCACTGACCCTGGGGTGACATTCATTTTCTAATTCCCTGCACTTCCTAGCAATCAACTTAGAGGGGCAGTGGTTCGCTGGAAAAGTTTGCAGTGTAGGCAATTAAAAGAAAAAATGTAGGCAGCAGCAGCAGCAGCAGTGAAATCAACAGAGGCAGGAGAGGATGAGGCATAGCTCTGTGATTGTTACTCAGGGAGATGATAAAATTCTTCAAATTGCATCCATTGTCCACTAAAGAAAAAAAAAACCAATATTAAATGGTCAATCTAATTAACTTACCTGGCAACCAGCTGCATGCAGGGTGCAGATGTGACTGGAAATGGCCTTAGTGTTTGTATATGTGAACCGTGTGTGTGTGTGTGTGTGTGTGTGTGTGTGTGTGTGTGTGTACAAATGGCCCTGTGGTCGTCATCAGGCTCCCATCAGCCCCTCCATTAGTTACTGAGCTGTGGGTCCATGCTGGCGCCTACCTGCCCTGAATACAGATTAGAAGAGGAGAGTATGGACAGCACGCATAATGAAGGCGATCACACATGCGCACGCACAGTCACAAAAGGTTGCATTAATTTATTTACTTTGACATACAGTGACATATTTTGACACACACTAATAATCAAAGTAATTGCATTCTATTTATCCAAAAGACAAAGAAGAGAAGAAGTTGTTGCATCATATACGTGGACTAATGATGACGCCATTAAAAACCTCTCTGTATATTTCCTCCGTCTGATTACTGCCCATTACCGGACACTGACACACCGACGCCTGTGCAAAGCACTTCATCTGGTGCAGGCAGATCATAGCTTACACATTCTGAAATAATGTCACACACAGCAGAGTACACACACTGGCAGACCAGCACAAAGGCAAATATGATGATTGCATGCTTCTCTCCTCCTTCTGGAGCTGCAGACTCGCATGCTCGTGACAGGAAATCTGCAGGCAGTCATTACACCACGCCGAGCAAACAGGCAGACGCCGCGCTCATTGATAACGTTTTCACATGGGCCAAGCTATGTTGGGGGAGCATTGCTTGGCACACACGGGTCTGTTTGCGTGGAAGATACACAAGCAGAGCTTGAAAATGAGGAGATGAAAATCATTGGCACAATACGTCCACTTTTAATTTAGATGTAATTTAGATTCCCTCTTCAACAATTTATTTTAGTTTGACATCGCTCAATTTTTAAAAACTAATAATGATAATGATTAAACATCCCCGTTTTCACAGAAAATGTCCAAGTGAAAAAAGAAAGAAAAAGAAACAGAGGCTGACAATGCTTTTCAACAATTGCCAATGATGCTTAATGTTCATGGCGATGTCACAAAAATGAAGTGGGTGTCCAGGTCGAGTTCAAGGCCGAAGACCAGGTCTCCGTCTTGGAGTTCAAGCAGGAGCAGCAGGCCATGAGAGCTGGGGGAAGGGGAGCGGGTGTGTGATGGCTTCTGTGTGTCCCTCCGGCAGTGCAATGGGACCCTTGGGAGACCTGGGTCAGGAGGCCTCCCTCCAGAACCCCCCGCCCCACCCCCACACCCCCTCCCCGCATTACTGTGCCATTTAAAGCCACCCAGCATCTATTTCCTCCAATAAAAACTAATAACCTTTTCCGTCGGAAATCACGGCAGCTCTTGACTGCTGGAGCAAAGGCCTGGCTGGATGGCCTGTAATTGCGGTCCAGAAGTTCCCCTTAAGTTTATTTTTTTTTGCAGTGTTTTGGATTTGATTCCCCCCCCATCCCCCCCACCCCCTCCAGTCCTCTTGGTCCTCTGCGCTTTGTGGCTGATTGCCTGCACAGCTCGCCCCACACTCAGTAATCAGACAGGAGCTGGAGAGAGGGGGCAAAACAGCAACTCAAGGACCTTTTTATAATTGGGAGGGATTTGTAGGGCAGTTGGACTTTACATTTGGTGTCAGAATAGGTGGTGATGGTAGCTGTGCTGGCTGAATAACGGTGGTGGCGAAGCCCTAATGCAGTCAAGTAGTTCATTGTGAGGCAGCCTTAACAGTTTGCATGTGTGTCTGCTGTTCACTTGCTGTTTCATAAACCTGCTAAAACAAGTAATCCTCTCGTACACGAGATATTCCTAGAAGTCTTTGCACACATTTTTGCCTGGGCTTGAATTCAAGTCTAGCCTATTCCCATGTATACCATATAGGGATTACCACTTCATAAAATGGTTAAACCCGTTTATTTTGGCTTTTTATTGTTCTTTCCAGCCTTTATTCAAGGTTTTTTGGAATCTCTGTTTGCAAATATAGAACAATTTAACAAACTAGGATAGAAGTAGCACTGTTTAGCATACATCTAATACTGTATTATATTG